CGAAGCTGGGACCCTTCAGTCCGCAGGCCGACCCTCTATCCGCTGAGCCAAACCGGTTAGGGCAATGGTTCATTATTTACTATTTCCCAAATCCTTTGGTGTACACATTCAGGACATAGTCTCCAGGGTAAAAAAAGTGTCTTAAAATTAAACATCTACTATATGCCGGATCATGTTGTCAGTCCTCAGATATATGAAGATAAATTGACCTGGATCTTTGTTCCTAAGGGCTCAGAGCCTGGTGTGGGAGACACATATGTAAAATCTAATACGGATAAAATACAAGTCATGCCATGATGAGGGATATACATGGTATGGTGGAAACATATGTTTGGGATTCCAGCACTTAGTCATTCAGTAGTGATATATGTAAATTTTCATTTTTATTGCAAGTTATTACATTGTTCTTCTAAATGATGGGGTTAATATGTATACCATAAGGAATGATACAACCATCTATAGAGAAAAAAGTTATTCTATATTCTCTACTTCTCATTTCTAGTCTTACTCCTCTCTTCCCTGGGATAACCATGCATCTCAGGTGTGCAGTCATCCACAATATCCTTCCTGTGCTTACAAAATGTGTGCGTGTTAGTGATCAGTAATAAATATGGATTGTTTTGGCAATGAATAATAGATACAAGATTAAGCATGGTGCTTATGTTTAGAAATTCTTCCTTATCAAACAGGTCAAGAATAAAATCATACTGGAAACATGGCATTAGGAAAATTATATACATGGCCATGTGAGATATATACCAGGAATGCAAGGACAGAAATTTTATTAAGAAATGCCACCATATGCCCTGACCGGTTTGGCTCAGTGGATAGAGCGTCAGCCTGTGGACTGAAGGGTCCCAGGTTCGATTCCAGTCAAAGGCATGTACCTTGGCTGCGGGCACACTCCCAGTATGGAAGGTGCAGGAGGCAGCTGATCCATGTTTCTCATCGATGTTTCTAACTCCCTCTCCCTCTCCCTTCCTCTCTGTAAAAAAGTCAATAAAATATTTTTTTTTTAAAAGAAATGTCACCATAGATGTCTTGATATTATGAAATTCACTTGATATATCTAAAAAGAAAATTCATATAACTATCTCCATTGATGCTATAAAAGCCTTTGAGAAAAAAATCAACAGTATGATTTTTAAAAAATCACTCAAGGACATAGGAATTCATGGATACTTCCTTAGTATAATTATATATTTACATACCAGCACTTTCGCTTAAGGGGAAACATCGTAGGAACAAAGCAAGGAGGACAATTATTTCCATTAATAATTAATATTGAACTATGAGTCCATGTAATTATAGCATAGAAATTTATAAAGTAAAAATATATTTGCAGGTGATATAATATGGCAAGAAACCCTAGAGGGACAATGTTAAAACCAACTCAAATAATTTAGGTGAGAAAAAACTGAAAACGACCCATGTCACCCCATTTCCCGACGGAAACGCTGACCAGGGCGCAGCGCAAACTGCCCAGCTGCTCCGGCCGGGTCCCCTCGGAATGGGCAGGGATGGTGCCGGGCGTTACACCTTGGAGCCCGAGGCCCGAGAGGAGCTCAGTGGACGCGGTCATCTTAGAGTCGGTGCCACGGAAGGGAACCCGAGCAGTTGGAGGGGCGCCGGCTGTTCCCCCCGAGAATTCCGGATGGAGGGCGCTTCGTGGAGGAAGCGGCATTGGAGGCCCGTCTAGCGGTTAGAGACGGGCGAAGACGGCATGGATCCGGGAGCGGGTAGATGGCGGCGTTAGGAAGCTCTTGTTATGATTGGGGTGGAGGACTGTTGTTCGGGGGTCGGCAAAAGGGGTAGAGCCATCGGAGAGGCTGGGCTCCCCGGCGAGAGGGGGCGGAGTGAAGCTGGCACTGCCCTTCCCAGCGGCACGGGTTCTAGGACGGACGGACCCGCGTGGAGGTGAGCGCGGCTGCCGGGGCGGGGGAGAGCTTGCTGCTGGGGTAGTAAATCAGAGACATCTTCCTGTTGGGGGTGGAAAGCATGTCTCCCTGTTTGAGGTTCTTTTCTTCTTTTTTTCATCCTCGCCTGAGATTTTTTTCCATTGCGTTTTCAAAAAGAGGGAGGGAGGGAGGGGGAGAGAGAGAGATCATGTGGGACACGTGGACCGGTGATCGGTTGTCCCCCCCGCCCCCCCCCCCCGCACGCGCCCCGAGGAGGGGGAGGGAGGGGCAGCCTTCGGTTGGTTCTCCAGTGGATGCGGCGCTCTAACCACTGAACACACCGGCCAGGGTTCCCTGTTTGAGTCACAGGGTGTGCACACACCCCCTGCAGGCCATCCCAACTCCAATTTCAGTTAAGGTTTCCGGTTATTTTCACACCCGTGTCCCATCATTTTATTTTGGAAGCACATAACCTCCAGTTTCACAGGCTCAGGTTCATAGCTGCAGAAGCATTGTGCCTCAGAGTAAACTGTACCCCTTAGGTCTCACTCAGATCTGATTTGGATCAGAATTTGGACTGCAGACTTTTGAGCTAATGCTGTCATAGGTCAAGACTTTGGGACTGATAGGATGGAACGCATGTAGTTTGAATACAAGAAAGACATGAATGGGGGTGTATGAATTGTTATAGACTGAATGTTTGTATCCCCTCAAACTAATATGTTGTCCTAATACGCACCGTGGCTATATTTGAAGATGGGGCCCCTATGAAAGTTAAATGGCATTATGAAAATGGGGCTTTGATCCAGTAAGTTTAATGTCCATATGAGAGACACCAGAAAACTATCTCTTTCTCAGTGCAAATTAAGGAAAGGCCATAGGACAACACGGTGAGAAGGCTATTGATGTTCTTGGTGAACGGAGACGCGGAGATGAATCGGTCGACAGGATACGGAGAAGCAGAGGGCTACCGCTCGCTCAGGCGAATAGCCAAGACCCCCTGATGCCTTCTGGCTTTTATTGTAGTGAGCACAGCAAACAACAATGGAGTACAGCAAGTGACAATGATTAACAAACATGCTTTATGAAATCATCAAAGCTAAGTTATACATTACACTATTAATTTCCTATGTTATACAAAGACTATTTCTACCTGCAGCAGTGCACCCTCCCCTGAACTTTCCCTGACCTCATGGACTATTTATCACGTCAAGGAAAGTTCTGCCTCGGAACAATAAGTCTCGCTTGCAAGACTTTGTTCTGACGCGGCCTGCTTGCAGGCTCACGCCTTCTCCCGGCAGAACGTCCTCTTCTAGTTAACTTCTTTCCACTTGACCACTACAAAGGCAGCTGTCTGCAAGCCAGGAGGATCCTCACCAGGAGCTAAATCTGCTGGAACCTTGATTTTGGACTTCTAGCCTCCAGAACTGTGAGAAAATAATTCTGTTATTTAAACTATCCCCTCTGTGGTAGGTGTTATGGCAGCCAGATAGAGAAGTGAATTACATTGCTTAGAAAATTAGCCCTAGCCGGTTTGGCTCAGTGGATAGAGTATCATCAGTCCTGGTTCGATTCTGGTCATAATGGTCACCTAGGCTTTATATATACAGATAGTAATCAATCCTCTACTTTGTTAATCCAATGGAATAGTTTTATAACAGTTTACACAGTTATAATAATGTCATTGTTTGCTCATTGGAGTTTTAGGTCAGTTTTTTTGGTTAATTATATATTTTCCTGCTTTTATGAATGCCAGACAATATAGAGATTTAAGTATATAGAAGTTAACAAAAGTTCCTTACCTTTGTAAAGTTTACGGTCTATAACTTATACTCAAGACCTTATGCTTGAGCATAAATTTAGGAAGTTATTTGTTGTAATATGGTTTGTATTGAAACTGATAAAGTGAATAATATTTATGCATGACCTAAGATCTTTATATATTCCATATCTAAATCTTTAAGAGAACAATTGAGATGCTCTGTACAAGTTATTCTAATGGTTTTTACATCATGAATTGATTTTTAAAAATCACCCATTTACACCTTAGCCGGTTTGGCTCAATGGACAGAGCATTGGCCTGTGTACTGAAGGGGTCCCAGGTTCGAGTCTGATCAGGGGTACATGCCCGGGTTGTGGGCTTGATCCCCAGGCGGGGGCATGCAGGAGGCAGCCAATCAATGATTCCCTCTCATCATTGATGTTTCTATCTCTCTCTCCCTCTCCCTTCCTCTCTGAAATAAAAAAAAAAAAACACCTATTTACAATGCCATTAGTATCCTTCATCTACTGACAGGCCTCCCCTCTAGCTTCTTTTTTGGTGCATGGAACGACACCCAACCAATTGAGCCACACCAGCCGGGACACTCCAGCTTCTTCTTAAGAGACCTTGCTCTGAACCTTATGGTACATCAGTTGTATGCCAGCCTCTACTGACATCCCTGCTGACAGACCTGTAATTATACAGATCAGATTCTGAGAATATCTGTCAGATTGGTCAAAAGCCTGTTTTATTCCAGTCTAGAACTAGATTCAGCTCACTCATCTAGAGCTCCTTCGTCTACTCCTGACCCAATCCAGTCTCCAGTCTGACATACCACACCAAGGTTAATTCTCCGATGAAGATCTTTTGTCTTCCTCATATGACACCAGGATGTATAAGACTCTGGTCCCTCTGAGTTGAGGAAATGGAAGCAGATGTGAGGTAGAATGTTGGGGTGATTCCATCAGAGGCAGAGAAGAGGTTAGACAAGAAACTGCCTCCACAAGGAAGACTGCAGCTGGATAATTATCCAGGAATTGAGAACCTTATATTTGCAGGATTCTGAGTAGTAATTTGAATAATTAGGGAAGGGGGAGAGCTAGGATACAGTCAAGTAGACTTATCTAAAATTCTGTATTATAATTGCCTTATCATTATCTTTTTGTTTTCCAAAAATTACCAAGAGCTGTGTTGGAATATATTTTGCTATTTATAAGTTTAAATAAATAATTGTCCTTTGGCTTTCAGTTCATTTTGCAAACCTGATTTCTCTACCATTCAAGTCTAGAAAATTCTTAAAATTTTATTTGTGGTGATACTTGGTCTTATTTATAAATTGACAGTAAACTCATCTAAAGACATTAAGTTACATTTATGAATTTAATCGTTTATTTTCTGAAGGACTTTAGTTGTCTGAAATATTTAAATAAAGCCAAAGAAATGCAATAGCTAATCATCAAATAATGGGTGTTTATTGAAAATAATTTTTGTAAAGGAAAAGAATCTACAAATGGAGAAGTGAATATGTGATGATGTTAACCAATGATGTGGGGTAGAGACTATCTCCTTTAAGTTATAGAATCATTTAACATAGTAACTAGGAATATGGTTCAAGGTATCCTGTCCAAAAATATTCATCAGGTGTATTATGTAATATATGATGAACTTGAACTTCAAATATTCTTCATTTTCACAGGCCTTCTTTGATTTACAAGGACTTCAATATTTTTTTAAAGGTGTTCCACATTTAGTGTGTTCACGGCATTTTATTTCTACATGATTTTACCTGCTAACAGATGAGGCAGAATGTCCTGCTGAAAACCCCGTACGTTCACTGCCTTCCAACAGACTCTCTCCAGAATATGCCGACACCTATGGAGGGCAAGAACATTTGCTCTATCACATTTCTACCCACTATGAGCTCACTGATGATCTATGGTGATCACTGGTGATAGATAAGGTCTATCTTCCTAAAAACAGCTTTCCTACCCTCTGCATTCACAGGCTTTCTATTGACCCATAATCATATAATCAGCTAGATATTATTGCTCAAGGATTTCCAAATTGAATGTACCAGTTTTTTCCTATGTGTTTTTTGTGACATAAGATATAACTGACCATAGAAGGCATAACCACATTCACTTCATTTATAACATTCGTCTCCTGTATGAACTCTCTGTTATCTGCTGAGGGTGCATGTCCGGCAGTTGGCTCTTCCACAGTGACCCCATTTCTATCTACTAGGAGCCCCCTGATGTTTAATGATGTGTGAGGAGTCACAGTCACCGAATTAACAAGCTTTTCCTTCTGCAGGAGTTCACTCGTATCTAATAAGCTGTGACTACTTATGGGAAGATATTCCACCTTCACTGAATCTTTTTTTTTTATTTATTTATTTATTTATTTATTTTTTTTTTTTTCACTGAATCTTTATGTTTCTCTCTTACACATGTCCTCTTACATTTCACCAGGCATGACATGTGGGTAAAAGCTTTCCCACACTCATCGTATCCATAGGGTCTCTCTCCTATATGAGTTCTCTGATGGACAATGAGCACTGTCTTTGTGGTGAAGGCTTTCCCACACTCACTGCACCTACAGGGTTTTTCTCCTGTGTGAATTCTCTGATGTTTGATGAGTCCTGATTTCTGCGAACAGGACTTTCCACATTGGGTACATACAAAGGGAGTCTTGCCTGTATGAAACCGCTGATGTGCAATGAGACATGCCTTCTGGCTGAAGGCCTTCCCGCATTCAGTGCAGCCATAGGGTTTCTCTTCGGTGTGAGTCCACTGATGGATAATAAGATCGCCCTTCTGAACGAAACCTTTCCCACAGTCACTGCATAGATACGGTTTCTCTCGTGTGTGAGCTTTCTGATGTGGAATGAGCTGTGGCTTTCTGGAGAAACCTTTCCCACATTCACTGCATTCATAGGGTTTTTCTCCTCTTTCGTTTCTCTGATGTATGTTGAGATCTGCCTTCCTGCAAAAGGCTTGGCCACATTCAAAACATTCATAGGTTTCTCTCCTGTGTGTCTTCTCTGGTGTTTAGTTAGCCTGAACTTTCTGGGGAATGCTTCCCCACACATCCTGCACACGTGGGGTTTATTTCCCGTTTGGCTCTTTTGATGTTCAGTAAGTTGAAATCTCCTGAGAAAGGCTTTCCCACACTCGCTGCATGCATGAGGTTTGCACGCATGAGGTTTCTCTCCACTGTGAGCGTGCTGATGTTCAGTGAGCTTGAACTTCTTGGAAAAGGTTTTCCCACAGACACCGCATCCATGGGGTTTCTTTCCTGTATGAATTCTCTTATGTTCCATGAGCTGAGGCTTCTTGAGGATGGCTTTCCCACTTTCAGTACATTCATAGGCATTCTCTATTCTGTGTGTTTCCTGAATTTTAAGAGATTGTGACTTAGTCCTGATGGGCTTGCTACTTTTGTGGAATTTCATTTCAGTATGAGTTTGCTCATGATTTGCATGGAGAAAGGATCTTCCATCTCCATTAAACTCAGCAGCCTCCCTTATGTCACAGCTTCTACTCTGGTAGATTAAATCTAAGATTTCAAAGTTTTCCCATCTAAATCAAACATATCGTTTGGCCTTAAAGGAAAATGACTTTTGCTCTGCAGAACAATACTTCCAAATGCATGCTGTTCCATTGCCTTCAGCATATTTTAGTTTTGCAAGTGCCACTGCAGATGATCAACTTCCTCAATTTCTAGGAAAGAAGAGAACGATGAATGCTTCCATGAACACCATATGGAATAAAGCTTCTTCAAAAACACCTTAGGAGGGCTGACGCTTTAGTAGAAGACGTATGATATTAATATAGAAGTTCTAAGTATAAATGTGCCTAATCTTTTTTTTTTTAACTTTCAGTTAAATATACATAAGATAGACCTCACTGGTTTGGCTCAGTGGATAGAGCATCGGTCTGCAGATTGAAGGGTCCCAGGTTTGATTCTGGTCAAGGGCACATGCTTGGGCTGTGGGCTCGATCCCCAGTGGGGGGTGTGTAGGAGGCAGCCGATCAATGATTCTCTCTCATCATTGATGTTTTCTATCTCTCTCTCCCTTTCCCTTTCTCTCTGAAATCAATAAAAATATATTTAATAATATATCTTCTATATATATAAAAGCCCAGCGACCGAATGGCGGGATTACTGGTCACTATGACATGCACTGCGGCAGCCAACCAGCCTGATACAGGCCCTGATAGGCCTCCCCCTGGCTGGCCCCGCCCTCGATTGCCTCCTCCCACCCCCCGATCGGGGGCAGGCCGGCCAGCCAACTGCTCGTGGCTGGCCAACCTCCCAGAGTCCCTCCCCTGGGCCAGACCTCCCCCCGCAATAGGCCTTGATCTCTGGCCAGACCGAGGGACCCCACCAATGCATGAATTCGTGCACTGGGCTTCTAGTGTATACGTAAGATAAAATAGACCATTTTAACCATCTGAAAGTGTACAGTGCAATGGCATTATGTACATTCACTTTTTTTTTAAATTTGTACATTCACTTTGTTGTGCAACCAGTGCCACCATCCATCTCTGGAACGAGTTCACCCTCTCCAACTGAAAACTTCTGTACCAAGCCCTAGCTGGTTTGGCTCAATGGATACAGTGTCAGCCTGAGGACTGAAAGGTCCTGGTTTCAATTCCAGTCATGGGGAGGGGAGGTGACATCTAAGAAGAAATAAATAAGGATAAGTTCCAAGAGATAAAGGGGTAAGTTTTCCTCTAGATTCCTACGTAGAAGAGCTCTTGAGAGGGGACAGGGACACACACTAGTTGTTTCTATAGCCTCAGACACCCTCACCACTGTGACACCTTCTCTAAATGCCTAGGCCAGTGGTTCTCAACCTTCCAAATGCTGCGACCCTTTAATACAGTTCCTCATGTTGTGGTGACCCCCCATTTCATTGTTACAAATTGAACATAATTAAAGCATAGTGATTAATCACAAAAACAATATGTAATCATATATGTGTTTTCTGATGGTCTTAGGCGACCCCTGTGAAAGGGTCGTTTGACCCCCAAAGGGGTCGTGACCCACAGGTTGAGAACCGCTGGACTAGACAGTGATTTCCGCAGCCTTTCCCTCTTGCTGGTTCTCTTTCACTCACCTGGGTGGGTTCGACTGTGGATTTCATCTTCTAATGACCACAGCGTTTCTCCTTATTCCAATCTGGAGAGAGCGTCTGGTTTGTTGACTTGATAACCTAGTCATGGGAAATGATGGAAGACTTAGGCCCCTCAGATTGCATTAGGAATCTGTGATGCTAGGAGAATGGTACATTTAGGGACTGCACAATTTGCATGTTTGCAAATTAAAGGCTTCCCTCTAAGATGAAGAGAAATTATACCTTCTCGTCTGGGTCCAGGGAGGGGACTAAGTATCACAGCCCAGAGCTTTCAGAAGATGAGAAAGGCCACTGACTGGGCGTTCAGAGTGACACAGGGAGCTGTCCTCGCCCACTGACACCAGGTGCCTGTAGTTCTCCATCATCACTTCCCTGTACAGGTCCTTCTGCTCAGAGTCCAGGAGCTGCCACTCTTCCCAGGTTAAGTCCACGGCCACATCCTCCAGTATCAGCAATTCCTGTAATAACAGTCCTGTTAATATGAGTGTTTATTTATTGAAAGGGAAGGTATGAGATAATAGAAAATATATATATTGGTCTCTGCCCCTGGTATCTGACACAGGGCTCCAAAATCCTTATCACGTAAGTTCGTATGTGATAAGAACAACATGAGTGTCTGTTCTAATGAGGCAACTCTGAATGGGCTCCTGGTTAGGGGCTGGTCACCAAAAAGACCGAGATGTGATCAGACGCCTGGAATCTTTAGACCCACACCCCATTCTCCTGAGAAGGGAGAAGTGCATGGAGAAGCCTCCACAAAAATCCCAAAAATTTAGGTTGGAAAGCTTCCAGGTTGTTGAAACAGTGAAAATACACACACACACACACACACACACACACACACACACACACATACACATATATGTATGTATTGATTTCAGAGAGGAAGGGAGAGAGAAAGATTGAAACATCTATAATGAGAATCATTGATGGGCTGCCTCCTGCACGCCCCACACTGGGGATCAAGCCCGCAACCCTGGCATGTGCCCTGACCCGGAATGGAACCATGACCTTCTGGTTCTTAAGTCGACACTCAACCACTGAGCCACGCCTACTGAGCTCGATGTTTCTCTCTCACATCGATGTTTCTTTCTGTCTCTCTCTCTCAAAATCAATGAAAACATATCTTCCGGTGAGGACTAAAAAAAACCCCCACTGAACTGCTTACCAAGGTGGTCACTGACCTCCCCCCATTAGCAAACCCTCACAATCACTGACTTAAATTCCAACGATTCCCCAGTCCCTGACCTTCCTCCAGGGATGCTCCAGTCCCCAAGGCCGTCCTAAGAACTGATCTTCAGACATTCTCAGACACTGACAGACCAACTCCTGACTTCCTTCATGGTCACCCGAATCAGTGACCACCTGACATTCGCCCCCAGTCAATGAACTTCCGCCCACACCCACGTGTCTCCCGGTCACTAACCCAACCCCTAGGTCATGCTAATCACTAGCCTCCCAGATTTCCCAGTCACTGACCTCCCCCAACAAAGGCTAACCGGAGCCACTCCAATCCGTGACCATCCCCGGGCCCGCACCATTTCTCACCACCCGGCCCCTCAATCATGGAATGCAACCCCCGCCCTACAATGGCTTGCTCCTCTCAAGAGCTCCCCACAGGCCTCCCCTACCACAAACCCCAAATCTCCACACAAACCCTAAACACCAAACTGAGACACACACACACACACACACACACACACACACACACACACACACACACACACACACACACACACACCACCCCCACCCCGCTTAACAGGTCCTTCCCGCACCAGCTGGGTGGGAAGGGCCATGGTCCCTCACCCGCCTCACACTCACCTCACTGGTCAGGTTTAACTTCTGTGACACCAGAGTCTGCAGGCTGCCAACCACCCCCTGGGCGACCTTCCAACACGAAGATTCCGCTCCGCTTTAAGGGCTTTGAGACGAAGACGCTATGACGAAGTATGGCGGCGCCCCTTAGGGAATTTTTGTGAGAGCCGCCATCACGGAAGACCTGCCGTACAACCGCCTTTCCTGCACCACGTGCCCGCGGAACGTCCCTCGCAAGCGTCATGACGTCCATCGTTACGTCACAAGGGGTGACGCACCCTTTCCAACCCGTCTCCGCGGAACCGCGTCCCGTCACTTCTCCGCGAGGCGCGGGAGGATAAACATGGCCGCCTCGGCTCTCTGCTGGTTCGTACCGAGGCTCCCCCACCCCCCGCTTCCCACGCATACACTTTGCAGTGGGCGCAGCCATCTTGGAAAAGGTCACGTGTCCGTACAGGACAGGGCGGCGCCCTTTGGGGAGCTGGGAGCCGGTAGAGCCACTGGCAGGGATGCTTTTGGAGAACAGAATGGGGTTTGGAAAAGCCAAGGCGGTGGTAGGAAGGCGGGGCGCCTCCTGTGGGCACAGAGGAGACAAACTTAGTTGAATGAAAGTGTCTTCTTCAGCCGGAATTGGTGGTGAAGGTTAGGTGACGCCTCTGGGCAGAAGGTGAGAGAGCTAGGGGGGGATCAGAGGTAGGAGGGCGGCTGAAGGTCTGTGACGTGGGGAAAGTAGACGACCAGAAATATTTTTGGTAGAAGTTTCTGTGCAGTCTTTATCTCAAATCTTTTCACATATAGTTCCTAGTGAATAAATTATTAACATCGGAATTAAGTAAAAGAGAATGAAAAATTCCAGATTGTTGTCCAAAAATGTTCCAGTCCTGAACACACTTTACCGACTGCTATCCGTCCTCCCTCAAGAACTCCTATTTAAAGCTAATGGCTAATTTTTATTTAGTATACTAATATACATATTTTTGAACAGGGAACTATTTTATTAATACTCTGAAAGCTATAGATTGTGGACATACATCTCACTCTCACTTCACATGTAAAAAAAAAAAAAAAAAAAAAAGACAAGCCAAATCTATCAGAATGCCTATTTTCTCACCACCTTATCAATCCTTTAAGCTTTGCCATCTTAAAGGTGAGTTAAAATCTTAGTTTTATTTCTTACTTTATAAATTGTTTATTATTTCCCCCTTTTCTATTTTAGCTTGGCTATCATTTTCTAGCTCCATTCGCCCCACCTTTAAGTAACTACTAATCTACTTTCTGTCTCTATAAATTGACTTATCTGGACATTTTTTTAAGTGCAGTCATACAATATGCAGTGTTTGTGACTGACTTCTTTCACCACCATAAAGTTTGAAGGTTTATCCATGTTACAGCATGTTTCTGGACTTCGTTTTTACACCTGAATAATATTCCATTGTATGGATATGGCACATTTATTTTTTTTTACATCATTTCGTGGCTATTTGAGTTGTTTCTATTTTGGGGCTATTTTAATTAATGCTTCTATAAACATGTACACATTTTTGTGTGCACATATGTTTTCATTTCTCATGGATGTAAACCTAGGAGTGAACTTGCTGGATCACAGAATAGTAAATGTGTTTAGCTGTTTGAGGAACTGCCAGACTGTATTCCAAAGAGCTGCATAATGAGAACTAAATGAGAACTGTTTTTCTACCTTATAATATTTCTGACACCAAATGCATGGATTTTTTTTTTCCCACACCAAGCAACTATTTATCTGTGATAACAAGTGTGTGTCCAATTCAATTCAATTCTGACAATGCCTTCCTTGAGTCAGGTTAAGGGCCCAATCCTACAATATTGCTACCCACCCCCACTTCTGATGCCAATTGCCAGGTGGGGCCTACTGTATTTCTGATGGATTGGCTATAAGTCAGGGACTTACATGACCTCCTCCTCAGTTTGGTATGGTAATTTGCTAAAATGGCTCACAGAACGTGGGAAAAGTTTACTTATTGTATTACCACAATTTTAAAAAAATCAGATGTAGTGTTTACATTATGATGGCTATTACATACGATTTATAGCTCAGCCATGTAATATATAGGGTGTTTCCCCAAAATGTATACACACTTTGAATAGTTATTCATTCCAATGGGTTAAATCTGAAAAGAAAGAGGCATCAACTGAGCTATCAGAAAAAACGTGTGAATACATTGAATACATTTTTTAAAAAATATATTTCTTTATTGATTTCAGAGAGGAAGGGAAAAGGAGAGAGAGATAGAAACGTCAGTGATTAGAGAGGATCAAGGGTCGGCTGCCTCCTGCACGCCCCTACTAGGGATGGAGCCGCAACCCAGGCATGTGCCCTTGGCCGGAATGGAACCCGGGACCCTTCAGTCCGCAGGCCCACACTCTGTCCACTGAGCCAAGCCGAATAGGGCCATCAGATACATTTTTGGGGACACCCTGTACTGTGACTACTTTTCCATTCTTGCATAACTTTGTATTCTCTGTGGAGTTATTTATGCCTTCCAGAAATCCTGGCCTTTAGTTCTCAAAAAGACCCACTGGGTGTGTGTGCGGGTGTGTATGTGTGTGTGTATGTGTGTGTGTGCTTGTGTGTGTGTGTGTGTGTGTGTGTATGTGTGTGTGGGTGTGGGTGTATGTGTGTGTGTGTGTATGTGTGTGCGTATGTGTGTGTATGTGTGTGGGTGTGGGTGTGGGTGTATGTGTGTGCGTGTGTGTATGTGTGTGCGTATGTGTGTGGGTGTGGGTGTATGTGTGTGTGTGTGTGTGTATGTGTGTGCGTATGTGTGTGGGTGTATGTGTGTATGTGTGTGGGTGTGGGTGTATGTGTGTGGGTGTGTGTATGTGTGTGCGTATGTGTGTGGGTGTATGTGTGTGGGTGTGTGTATGTGTGTGGGTGTGTGTATGTGTGTGTGTATGTGTGTGCGTATGTGTGTGGGTGTATGTGTGTGTGGGTGTGGGTGTGGTGTGTGTATGTGGTGTGTGTGTCTGTCTTTATAACTATCCTTCTGAAGACCCTTTTCTGTCCCCCAAATCTTTCCGCCAAAAGCTTTTTCGGGGTATTTGCCATTCAGCCTGCACCTTGGCTCTTCTAACTCCGCGGACAAGTCCTTTTCCTTTGTACGGACACCTAACTTCTAAGATGGCTGCGCCCGCGGTGTCATTTCCGAACGTGCTCTGTGCAAAGCCGACAGCTTTCTCCCCAGGTTGCTGAGGTGGACGCAGCCCGCCCCACGTTTGCCTGGCGCCAGTTTGAGCTTCTGAAAGTGAATGCAGTTTGTTTACAGGGTTTTGAAGCGCCGAGAAATGAAGTCGTTCGGTGACTTTTCACCGTCCCGAGCCTTCCCTGGCGACTCGGGTCCAAACGGCTATTTCGCCTTTTGTACGTCAAGTGTGGAAAGATGGCCGCTCCCTTATGCGATGAGGACACGGGCGCAGACATTTTCTCCGTGGAAACCGGAAGTCCAGGCGTCGGTGCGCCGCACAAATGCCTCCGACTCTGTTCGGTCGCCGCAGGCCGGCGCATAGGCTGCGCGAGGACACGCGCGGCAAAGATTTCACGGAGGTGCAGCTCGTGGAAGGTCGCGGAAACTCAGTCTCTGTGGAGCTCTCGGAGGTACAGGATGGAAGGATCGCGGTGTCTGAGTGTTCGGGTGGGAGGGCAGGGTCCGCGGGGGAGAGGCAGCAGCGGGAGTCTGTGGTTGGGGTGCCCGTGGGGTCCGCCCTGAGGGATGCAGGGGGCAGTAGGGAAAGGCCGGCGAGGCGCCCGGCTGACAGTCCGTGGCCAGGCTTGGTGTCTGCGTGACTGAGGACTGCGGTGGGGAGTGGGTTTTGATCGGGAAGGCAGTGTCTGTTCGCTTTGGGGAATCTAAGATGCGGCTCAATGACAGGAGCCGGGGTCACGGTCAGCAACCCGGGGTCTGGGCTCGCGATGATGCTGACGGACAGTGACCAGTGTTTGGGAAGGTCCCGATGTTTCATGCGTTGGGGGGTTTGTGAGAGCCGAAGCTGGTGGTGGGTGGGTGGGGTGAGTTGCAAACGTACCTTCTTTGCAAAGCTTTGGGCTTCCCACATCCCCCCCCCCCCCCCCCCCCCCGCATCATCTTGACCTGAAAGCTTGTAGGAGGTGGACGATTCAAAGCGCATCTGAAAAAGTCAGGCTGCCACTAAAATGAGGATTTTGCCCTTCCTGCAAATTTGTGCGACACACACACACACACACACACACACACACACACTGGTTAAATATTTCCTTTTAGCATCATTATAGCACAAGTAAAATAGCACGCAGTTCCCCCGATTCAGTTCCCCAATGGTCACCTCTGTTAAAACGTTCATAGATGTTTCTTTTAGTCTTCATTTTTCTTTTCTGTTTTTTTCAATATATTTTTATTGATTTCAGAGAGGAAGGGAGAGGGAGAGAGAGACAGAAACATCAATGAGAGAGAATCAAGCCAGGGCTAGTCTTCATTTTCTATGCTTGATTCGCACAATTCCAACAAATCTCTGATCATTTGCCTCATCACTTAATTTCATATCTTTTTTTTTTTTAAATATTTTATTGATTTTTTACAGAGAGGAAGGGAGAGGAACAGAGAGTTAGAAACATAGACGAGAGAGAAACATCGATCAGCTGCCTCCTGCACACCTCCCTACTGGGGATGTGCCCGAAACCAAGGTACACGCCCCCGACCAGAATCGAACCTGGGACCCTTGAGTCCGCAGGCCAATGCTCTATCCATTAAGCCAAACCAGTCAGGGCTAATTTCATATCTTAAACATTCACATAACAAACATAAAATTTTTTCTTTAAATATATATATTTTTTAAATTTCTGTTAACAGTATAACAAGAGGCAAATCCATGCCATTATGACTGGAATCACTCAATGTGTACATTCATTTAGATGGAGCTTAAATACTTAAATATTCAGTTGTCACTTTTAAGAACAGGTTAGGATTCTGCATTTACTAAGGATGTGGCTCCCTGTCCCTCATCTTCACCTTGACTTTTAAATTTTTTGCCATTGTGAATGGTGGGGTTTTTTTTTTTACTTTTGACCTTTTTTGTTCTTTTCTTTAAATTTACTGTTACATAGAAGAGCAATTAAATTATTTTGTTTTGTTTCTGCTCACCTCATTGAACCCTTACTATTATGAGCATCCCTGTTCCCCATGATGTTATTATGAAAATGTTCAAATATATAGCAAATTTTAAAGAATTGTACTTTTGAACCGT